TGCGAATTATATTCTAATGATGATTACGTGTCAGATTCGTCTTATATATGGACGTAAGTAATTCAAAACCAACCCAATTGTTACCATGAATTGCTTAGTAATAGGTAGCATGTAAGCATTTTAGCAACAAGTTTATACTGTTTATACCTATGAGGTGCATGAAAAAAAGGTTGCATTGTTTTATTTTTATATTTTAGAAGACATTTATTAAATATATTGATGAGCCGCATGAGCATTAAAATCGAAAAAAAAAGTTGGATAATTTTTTTTAAAGTGCGTATTTTTTTGACAAATAGTCTCATCCATTATCTGCAATATTGCCAAGACACCAAACCAATTGGGCAAACAGTTTTCGAGTAAAAATTTTCTGAAGATAAGCTTGATATTTTTCTAAATGCCCTTTTCAAAAATAAGGATGGATTCAAATTGGCGATATGAAGATGCAAAATGGCATAGTCGGTCATAAGGAACGTTTCTGAAAATTTTCAACCAAATTAAAAAATATACAAAAATAAACCGATTTGCGAATTTGTAGGGAATTACTCTTAAGTAACATTACCGGGCCACCAAACGACGTATAATAACTTTTGAATAAAAAAACCAGTATTTTTAGCATGAAAGCTAGCGATCTGCTTTGTACGATTACAATCTAGCTGAATATGTCAAACATTGCTATCACTATGAGATTATATGTGATAATTGGAAATAGGAATAACTTTTCTGTCATCAAAACAAAACTTTATTTTTCTCGGATCGGTGCGAATGTTACCCTCGAAATAATGAAAATTTGCTCTTGATATGTGTGCTAGAGACGTTGAATAGAGACACGCATAGACCTAAGAGAAAGCGGAGACAACTGGCTTCTTACTCTTTTATCTCTATCTCTATTTATATCTATCTCTATCTTTATCTTACGCACTTCAAATCGGCCAATCACAAGCTGGTTCGCGTTTAACAGAAAAGTGGTTCGTTTTCGCCACCGTATTTTCTAAAGTAAGAGGAATCAAACGAACCGTCAAAAGCTAAAGTAAGTAAATAAACATTACTGTTCGCTCAATTCACCAGAAAGGAATATTGTTCTCAGTGCTGAAAAAAGTGTTTGATTATTTTCACGAAATAATTGATATCTGCTATTTATTAATTTTTTGATGATTCAATTAAATACAACATTTATTAGTGATAAAAAAGAATTTCGAATCAAAATGTTTTATTATGTAAGGTAATAAAAAAAGATTGCTCTGCAAACAAATCAGTAGTTATACTGTCATGAAGCAACTGTCATATCTCGTCTTCGCTTTATTTTTGTAAAATAGTGCCACGCTCTTCATTTTTATTTAGATCCGGTCGAACGTTAAAATTTTCTCGGCACTGTAACCGTGAATTATCAAAACTTACCGCTTTAGTCAGTAAATACTGTCCTTTTGAGTAAAATATTTGTTTTCTTATTGTGCTTCTTATGCTGACTTTTTCAGTATTGTTATTGCAGTATTTTGATGAATAATTATTAATATGTAATAAATAAAATATTTCGAATCTTAGTGATTTTAAGTTGGTGACTGAGGTAAGTATGTTTAGAGGTGGAGTAGCAATAATGCTGTTTTAACTTGTTCTGAGCTAATGCAGAGCTAACCCAGCTTGAGTGATCAACGCTTGCTCGTTGTTTAGCCGGATTGTTGCTTTCTTGGTGTGCCTAAGCGTGGAGCTCTATTAGAGGCAATTGATTGTTTATGCTTCAAAGTAAATGAATCATCTGGAAATCGATACCAGAGTGCAAAAATTACTCAATTCCGTAACTGTGTATGCACTCCTGTGTTGACTTTCAGGCGTTTCAATGATTTCACACAGAAATTTCGGAAGTCAAGTGCACGAGATGGAAGGTAGGAGGATGACGTAAACACAATAATTTGATTTACTGGTGTAATTAGTAATTTTGGAATTAAGTTTGATGACTGCTCCAGTAAAACAAAATCAGTACTGAAAACTCGGTGTTCTATTTTACTGAGTTTTAGTCATTGACCGTAAAGCAAGCTGTTATTTTACGGTAAATTCGATACTTGCTAAAACCGTATTCAGTAGTTTGTCGCAAAAGCTCCTGAACATCAGTAGTTGTATTTATAATAAGTCAATGTTCGGTAGTTTTTGTGATTTACAGTTCAAAAATTATAAATAAAATTACCGAACAGAGAAACCGATAAAGTGTGTATACTTCGTCAAGCATTGCAATCTCATATACATAATTCAAATTTTGTCATAACACATTCTTAATTTTAAGCACAAAGGCAACCCCAACAAACAATCGATTATTTAAGAAACGACTTCTTTAAAGTTATTTTTATTCAACCATAACATGGTGTTGGTTAAGGTTTGACGAGAATGTTTCATTTGACTTCTATGAGTTGCAACAAGGCTTATTCGATTAAATGTTTTATTTATTTTTTACTTTATTAGAGCGATTTTTAGCCGTTGGCTAGTTCATCTCTATCAAATAGGAGGCCCCAGAGGGGGGGTTCTGCCTGCAAATTTTGTTTTGGAGTTGGCTTACAATTCACATGTACTCAAATAGAAGCAATTAAAACAGATTCCAGTAAAAAGACGGCAACGAGGCAACGAGAAAAAAAATCACAATCTGGTACCTCAAAGTTATGCAGGGTTTTGAAAAAGATCGGAGTTCCACCGTAGGAGGGGTAATCCCCCGTCCGGCAGAGATGACCCGTCAGCCAAAAGAAAGTTAAAAGGACCTAAACGTTGTTGTATAGCCCAGCGTCCTTGAGGAAATAAATAACTGTCGCTAAAGTGGAAGAGGTTCGTCGCTTAGTATGTCCCTAAAGCTGTTGGGAAGTGCGTGATGCTCCCGTAGTTGTTGGTATTGCGGGGCCAAATGTTTTATTATTCAGTATTTATTGGGCATCTTTGCTATTATACATTTATTAAACGAGTATTCAAACTGCAGAAAAATTAACCACAAAATACAACAGAACGGTAGAGACTGACACCAGTGCTATAAATTTTCATATCATTCGATTGAAGATGAACCAATGCAACCATTCAATCAATTCTGTGTAAACGAATTCTCATATGACCATATATATTTTTTTTTTATTATAGTCACTTCAACACTCTTGGGTCATTTGTGACTTGTCCGGGGATGAGATTTGAACTCGTGACTTTGGCGTGAGAGATATGGATGTTAACCACTACGCCGGGGTCGCCCCCCGTCCATATGACCATAATTTGAAGAGCCCCTTTCTCATTAGAAGCTCATTGTCACTGTCAATTGAGTCACTCACTATCATTTGATATACGACAGTGGAGTATGGAAGAAATCCAGCAAAATGGTCCGAACAGACAAGTTGACCCGATGTCGGATCAATGTAAGGCTAATTTAAGGTCGATATCAACGCAATGTCGTGTTGTTGTCGGGTCAATTTTGAGTTTATGTCGGGTCAATGTCGGGTCAATGTCGGGTCAACATCGGGTTGGGGTTTGGTAGAAGTCAGGTTGGTGTCAGGTTGGCTTAGCTTTTTCGCCGGAATGTCGACCAGAGCTCCGTTTATGTGTAGGTTACACTCAATTGAATGATATATAGCGTTTCTCAAATGAGAAAGATCCATGCCTTCGTCAAATGACTAAGCAACTGATATCACCCATTCTGAGGAGGTTCCCTTTGATAGAGAATAGCTCGTGTTCTCATTTTCATCAAAAATGTTCAAATGATTTTGAGAATTTACAGCACTGACTGACACAGAGTTGTCCTTTCTTTAGTGATTTTTTATTCTGAAGAAGCACGCACCACACAGATAATAGAAAATTTATAACTTATATATACATGTCCGTTGCATGGGTTTCGAACCATGTCTTCCCAATCACCAGCCACTTGCCTTGCCATCTGAGCTATCCTAGAATACATCATATGGGCTGCTCAATATTCAATAAAAGCTTGCTTGAAACTGAATACCTATCAGCACTCCCGATGAATTCATTCATCTTTGTTTTACATGAGATCAATTCTACCTCTTCACCTCTCCAATTTCTTAGGAAAGGATGCTGGCTTATTTATTAAACTAAATCAATGAGTTTGTTGTCGTGAGTGATGTGATCGATGGTTACGATTTAGAACACAAACAAAAAAAGGGTTGAGCTTGGGATTGAACTCACGACCTTCTACTTGGAAAGCGGAAACGGTAACCACTACTCTACTGATATCGTATTGTTGCTAGACTAAACCAATGTTGTGAAATAATAAATCTAATTCGTCTGTTATAAAGCATTTAGAAAGCCTGTAATTAAAACATGGACGTATAGTGGTATAAGAGCTATTTTGCTGACTGTATTCATTTTATACAGTAACATTGTAAAGCAATGCAATGAAATCTAATAATAGAGCTAGAAAACATTTATAAGACGTCTAATAAAGCATTTTATGAAATAAATTGAAAACAGTCGTATTAAAGCATTAATCTATGTGCAAATTACACTTACTCAGTTTGATATTTGATCAAACTTCTGGTTCTGAGTCAAGAAGACAGTCAACGTTTATAAAGCTTGTAATAAGTAAATTAATCATATAAAAGAGAAAAAAACGGAATAAAGGCGCATCTATCCATCTCAATGAGCTTTAACATAAATTAACATCATGTTTATTCAAAATGTATGCTTATTTATGACTTTGAATTGTTTGTTGGGAAAACCAACAGGCTCAGTGATAAAAGTATAAAACCCAATATAGTTTTTATGACTCAGCTGAGTTTTCAATTGCAGTTAAACAAACTTGGATAGTGTTATGAGGCTCGAGCACTCTTGGCTCAGTGCTTTTGGTGGGAATCAACTAAAAAAGAGCAAAACAGTTTTAAACTTGAGAAAATTTTCAAGCAGTTTTCCATTGACTTTCAAAATAAAATCAATCGACTCCGCAGCACCTAGGTCCAAGCTACCCATAGGTGACATTTTTCTAATGGATTATATTTGGAATGACTTGTTTGATTATATCTATGTAATTGCAGGAGATCAAAGAAATTGGAAAAATTTTCACCGTTACGTAATGCACTTTGTTCACTTGGAAAATGGAGATCGCATAACAGTGGGCGTCATCTGCATGCCAATTACTTTCTCTCGGTAAAAACACCCATATAACACAATCATTGTTTGCTCTTTTGAATGTATCTATCTTTCTACAGACTTGAAGTTGGATTCTTAGGTAAATCGAAAGAACGTTTTAACTGTCCCATCACCGCAGTTGATTTTGATCTATATCAACATGGAGAGCAGGGAAGCCCACCAATTGATTATGCACTTCAATTTACCACAGGTAGGTATTTATGTGTTTTTCTTTTAATGAAGCATGTTTTTACATAAATTGTTCTACATCATTTTAGCAGATAGACGAAGATACACAATGAAAGTACGAGCATTATCATGTCCAGAATTTTACATAGGCGAAGAAAGCGAATGCCGAATAGTTGAGCAAATGTGCCTCTTTGAAGTAAATGGATTAAAAGGATGGGGTGCTGCTGAATGGCAGTATAGAAATTTCGATGGTCTTCCATTGCATGTCACGAGCATATATGCACGCTAAGACAGGAATACCTATAATTCGGTAAAAAAATAACGATAATCGAACAAAAGTGCACATATCTAAATTAACGGTCAACATCGATTACCTAAAATTAGGTATTATAATGTGTGGTTGTATAGTGGCCAAAGAATCGTAAACGTTCATAATTACCTATTTTTAAATGTTACTTTTTACCGAAAATTCCGTTTTTTTCTGTTTTATAGGTTTTTGCAATGCGCTTCAGATGCTATTTTAAGATTATTATTTTTTTTTCGGATTTGATTGTACATTCTGTACTACTCAGAATTATAGAAAGACGCAAACATATTCAAAATCGTTGCAGAATACCTGTTAACTGCAATTTTTATTTGTTTTGTTTACAAAAGCTGATGAGGCCAATCTGTAATCTTCAATTCATTTTACTCTCCTTACTGATTGATTGTCGTTTGGTCATGAATGTCACTGATCGACCACTCCGAGGACCACTATGCTTTCCTAATCTGACTGGTTTCCGTAAGCCGTCGACAGCTCAAGTACCTTTCCGGATGGATTGCAGCAGCTGCAGAAGGAGCACAAACATGCAGTTGAGTTGCCAGCTAGAAGACGGGACGGATGTCTGAGGGATGTTGCGGTGGCATTGGCCACTGATAGCTAGAATTAGGTGATATTAGCAAAAAATCAGTATTTCACCTTGATTTGATGGGTTTGCGTTAGAGCTGGGACTTCAACTATCCGGATACTTCAGTTTTTTTTTCAATAGAATTACTTTCCAACAAATGAAATATCGTTGAATTGATTTTCAGTTTACAGAATATCATGCTTTCTAGTGCCCAATATTGAAATAAAATTAATTGAGAAAACGTTGAGATGGTTATCATGTGGATAGTAACTATCCGGATACCCGGATAGTGAAAATTTAAATTTATTCTCCCTCTAACAATTTTCTTTTTTCCTGTTCTAAATATTTGTCGAAAAGTTACGAACACATAAGTGACGCTAGTTTTTGCTTGCATCACCAGCCAATTTTTATATTTATTTCTTTAAGATTATTGATAGTTAATTATACTCACCCTTCGTATTAGTCGTTGTTGAAATTAAATTCAATTAATTAAATTACGGTTGCAATCAAATATTTTTTTCAAATAACTTTAGTAACTAACACTTCAATGCGCACAAACACTTATCGTCAGCGTTGCTGCTCTTTGCATAGCTCTTACGCAGTTTACTCAAAATATTAGCACAGACGAACAGACATAGCACATTGAATATTTCGCACTCGTCGCTAAAACATAACCACCATCTCTTGAGTACACTGTGGTTGGCAGTACGCTGAACAAATGGCGGTAGTGTGTAAACGTCAAACGCAAGGGAATTGACTATGCGTGCCACAGGTAGCGCATGCTAGGGTCGCAATGGCATTAACAAGTTGGTTCCATACCTGCTCGGTGACGGGTTTGATAACTGACCATGAATCTTTTAAGAATTCGACTGTTTATGGGGTTCGATTTTTATCGATTTTGCATGTAATATTTCTTTCATTTTTCGGGCGTGTCTAAGGAAACGAGGAAGAAGTTTTGAACCTGCTTTAATTTTTATTTAATTTTTCGCATCACCGTCCTGTGAGACGCTACAAAATAAAATTAATAATTCAGTCATGTGAGTAGATTGCAAATAGCATGGTAATAAACATTAAAAGGTGTACATTTGTAGGTGTACATTGAGATCAAAAAATAAAGGAAAACAGATGTTATTATTCGCTTTGATATCGGTGCGTTTCCAGGTACTAGGGGATTTGAACTGCGTATTCCGTCCACTTGTGCACTCCACAATTGTTGCATCGTGAACTTTGCTTTGAACTATGCTCAAATAACCTCGATTATTTAGCAAACTGATTCTTTACTTAAATTGTTGATTCAATAAATAGGCACAGTTGAGTTCAATCATACCATGCAATTTAAATATTTATATATATAGCTTGAGTGCAGGCTTACTTCCACTCACTTGCTATAAAAAAATGTTTTTCGGAATTATGAAATCATGAAATAGTATAATGAAAATTAGTACTTGTAAGTTACAAGATGAGGTCGTGAAGTATATGTTTGACACATAAAATCTGTCAATATTGCTTTCAGTGCGTCACAATCAGCGATTTTACGACTCGTGAGCGCTCACTCTGAGTGAACGCTCACGAATCATAAGACCGCTGATTGAGACGCCCTCAAAGCGAAATTGACAGGTTTTATGAGGCAGCCCTAAGTATGCACCTTTAGAATTGATAAAACGATCCATAAAATATAGAAAAACGTCCCATTAAAAACATCCAAATGATCCATAAAACATCGGAGAAAATCCCTAAAAAAGTGTGGATGATCCATAAAAAATATCAATATTATCAATATTTTATGTGAAATTAAGCTACACAATTGTAAAAATGTACCGCTAAATTTCTAAAGAATGAGCATTGAAATTGTAAGAATTACCCATAAACATATTGCAATTGATCCATAAAACATTCAGCAATGAACTTTAAACTAAAGAAAGTGATCCATAAAAAATCAAGTTTGCGCACTTAAAAAGATAGGCTGATCCATAAATTAGACTATATTATTCATGTTTAGGACACTTTTTTTTAATTTTGATCCATAAACCTTGAAAAATTGCTCCACTGCATATCTACTTAGATTTACTGTCCTGCCCGTGTATTTTAGTTAGAGGTTTATGGATCAAAATTAATAATATAGTGTCGAAAACATGAATAACTTACGTCTTATTTATGGATCATGACTGTTCGGAATATCGGGATAACCCTGTACCGCCAAACCCAGTGACAACCCTGTGGAAGATTCGGAGAGCTACGGTAACGGTCGGTGTCAGAAATGACAGACGTCACGTTTGATTCAACGGAACTGTGAGTTTATCCAAACCATCTTGAACACGTTTTACAGCTAAATTAAGTTAATTGAAGGTTAGTTGAAGGAGGAGTTCGTGAAAATATTGAATTTAATAACTCTATATTTGCTTAATCTAGATACTTCAATTTGATCCTAAAATTTGGTAACCTACAATTTGTTCCTAAACGCTATATCCATGATTTACTCTAAGTAACTAGTAAGTAGCTCATTCTACATCGTTTGCTTGCTTAACTAAAATAATAATTGAATCCCTAATTCCTTAATCTAGTCAAATCTTTGTTGAAAGAGTGACGGAAGATAACTCTAGGTTTGAAAAATATCCCGCTCAGCCTCCTATCGCTTTTCATGGAGGAATATTTCTTCCTCCAGCGCTTTCTCCTTTGCACTTTTCTCCTGATGAAAATGGTCTAGGGATTCCTCCAGGTTGACCTCATTGGTACTTCATTTTCCAGATTAGGATCCGGTATCACTCCTCGCACTATTCTTTCTGCTAGGTGGTTTCTTTGGGACAGACTTCTTGGTTCCTTTCGACACCTTCAGCATATGAGTGCACTTCGAGCACGTCTACGGAACCTCCTTTACAGCTGCTGTCCTACCAGCACAACTATAATGGGTCCAGAAATCGCAGACATCACACTGGACCATATCATCTACGTGGTCATGGCCTTCACAAAGCGTACAGTTTCAATCGCTGTTCAGTTCTTCACTCAACGGTGATGTTGATTTCTCTGACATTTTGAGGTTATATCCGATGTTGTTCTTCAAGGATGTTCGGATTAATGAAAGCAACTTCCTCAGAGCAGTCTCGTTTTGGACAGCTTGAAGCTGAAATAGGTTTTATTATAAGCATTATATTAGTTTAATAAAACCTATTTCTGCTTTAAGCTGCCCAAAACGATACTGCTCTGAGGAAGTTGCTTTCATTGATCCGAACATGGCTATCTTTTTAAGAGCGCAAACTTGATTTTTTATGGATCACTTTCTTTAGTTTAAAGTTCATTGCTGAATGTTTTATGGATCAATTGCAATATGTTTATGGGTAGTTCGTACAATTTCAATGCTCATTCTCTAGAAATTTAGCGGTACATTTTTACAATTGTGTTGCTAAATTTCACATAGAATATTGATAATATTGATATTTTTTATGGATCATCCACACTTTTTCTACGGATTTTCTCCGATGTTTTATGGATCATTTTGATGTTTTTTATGGAACGTTTTCCAATATTTTATGGATCATTTATTGGTTTTTATAATCAAAAGTATGTTTGCCGTTTTATGAGTCAAACACATACTTCACGACCTCTTCTTGTAACTTACAAGTACTAATTTGCATTATTCTATTTCATGATTTCATAGTTCCGAAAAAAAATTTTTTATAGCAAGTGAGTGGAAACAATTTGAGTGACGAAAATCGAGGTTGTCTGTATTTTCCAGTGGCGTTTCCTTTACCTAGATCTACCTGTGCACCAACTCTCAAAGCATAAATAATAATCAAAATATTGCTTGCAATAGATAGATATCGAGTAAACTAGAAGATTAAGTGTATTTTCAACCGATTCGAATATGAATATGGCTTTAAATCTGGTTTTGAAAGTTGGTGCACAGGTAATAAGTGAGGTTACGGGACGCCACTGGTATTTTGTTATATTTTATTAATTAGATTTTGACGAGATGGATCTGGAATTTTGACGTCTGTGTTTTAATGAGATACCTGCATACAAACATCCATTTTGCATTTCACTACATATATTATATAAATTATACATTGCATGATATACTATTACTTTTAGCTTAATATTTCAGCTTACTCAAGCAAGTCATCGAAATTAATATAAAGCTGACGGAGCAGAGGAAATAACAACATTAAATAATATTATATGTATATAATTATTAAGCAGGTTTTTTCTCATCATGTTAGTTATTCATCACAAATTTTAGCTTTATTGTTAGTATCATTCGAGCAAAATATATTCAATTGCTTAATATATCCTATACATTTCAGTGTTGCATCCACCTGTCATTGTGAGCTGAGGAGGTATAGAGCTGCATATGTAAAATACTTCTTCATTGCAGTAGCAACTATATTATCGGGGGCGACCCCGGCGT